CATAATACAAAAAACAATAAAAAAAGAAAATATTAAATTACAATATATGATATATTAACTTATTTTTCTTCTTTATTAGTTGTTTTATTTTTTATTCTCAAAACCACCTCGTCAAACTTATCATAATGTAATTTTCATTATTTTCAAATTGTCTAGATGGTCAAGAAACCAAATAATCAAATATACGTCTAGTTCTTGCATTTTTTTTTCTTTTTTATTCAAGCAACTTGATTGAATATGAGAATATTTTTTATTTTATTTTTTCAATATTTACCTGTTACAATGAGATGATTTAAAAGCAACGCCACTCTCGCAAATTCCTTTCCATGACTGGGGAATAGGATCCATTCCATTATCGTGGAAACTTTCAGACTCTGGCCATACACCTAATGAAAGATACAATACAAAATGCAAAATAAAAATAAAAATGGAAATAAGTTAGAGAACATAACGACATAAAATTTAGTTAGTTTACTGATTAAAATAAGTGTTGCCAAGTTTGAATATTGAATGTTGATTGTACAAAGAACGAGAGATGACATCGACCGATTGAAAATAAATTAAGAGGTTAAGACAGACTATGTGTCCCATCAATTAAAGTTATTTAGTTATTTTAAATCTTTTAATAATGAATTGAAATTTACATAGTTGAAAATTTAATTATAGAAAATTTTACTAAGTAATTGACCTATTCCAAACACATGCAGCAAATGATGTAATCCAGAAACAAGAATGCTTCAATTAATTTAATTTTTTTTTGGGTGGAATTTTACAATCCCAACTGAAACTCAAACTCGTAAAATTTCTCTCTTACTACTTAAGTTTTGATCTCCATTTATATATATATATATATATGACTATTATAGAAGAGAATTTATCTAAGCATGTTTGGCTGTGTTTAAATGTAAGTTAAACTTATTTTTAAATTACTTATTTTGTCAAAAATAGTAAGAAAGAATTGTTTACAATACCACTGTCCAAAACACCAACGATAACATCCTTCCCATAATTTGCTTTACGCAATAAATCTTCTTCATTTGGAGGGTTAGGATCTCCAAGTCCTTCGAGTAAGTTAATAAAATCCCATGATCTTGTCGTGTGAAGCCTCGATATGGTTGGGTGGCTATGAAACACTGATATCACCCCATCCATCTCTGATCAAGGAAAAAAGATCATTAGCTCACGCTAATTGAGCAAGAAAGGTATAAATAGGCCTATAAAACCTTACCTCAACTGTATGTCCTTTGCCAAAAAGGAAAAAAATGAGAGCAAGACGTGGTGTGAACTCATGCAGAAAGGAATTTTAAGCGGAAACAGAAATAATGGCTCGACACGGGAAATATTAAGCTCCTGTTTGGTCCTCATTTTTTAAAATCATTTTTTCTCAACACATGTTCTATCACATATTTAATGAGAACCACAACTTTTATTAACTTTTATCAAAATATGCGTTTGAGCCATATTATTTTGGAAGAATGTGTGGTTAAAAAAGAAAGAAAAGTTACTGATGTGATGGAAAATTGATGCAGGAGGGTCCGAG